CAAATTCATTTTTGACGGAAATTGACGGAGATAGTACCCAAAAACTGACTTTAGGGACTGAGATGTTAATCTCAGTTTTTTGGAAATATCTGCGGTTCTAATGGTCCTTTCTCATTTTTCTCTCCCGGAAATTGAAGCTGAGCTCACTCCCCACATTTTTTGTCCTGGTCAAATTCATTTTTGACGGAAATTGACGGAGATAGGACCCAAAAACTGACTAACATTTCGGTTTTTTGGCCATATCTCCGTCAATTTCCGTCAAAAATGAATTTAACCCCTTCGCCCCCCTCCCCCTCTGCCGCGCCGCTCCGAAAAGGAGGAAAACAAAAAAATCTATTTTTCTCATTATTATTTGGCTCTAACCCCTTCACCCCCCCCTCATCCCGCCAATCACGCCAAAAATTGAATAAAAAAAAAATCATCATTATTTCACTTTTACCCCTTCGCCCCCTCCCCCTCCCGCCGACAACTCTGGACTCATATTATCATTTGGCTATAACCCTTTCCACCCCCCACCCCTGCTCCTCCCGTCGCCACACCAAAAATAATGTTAAACAACTTAATATCAACAATAATTCCACCCCCCCTTATGTATTTATTGAGTACTGAATGGACTCAATGGTAAGACTTGGAAATAGTCTTAGATTTTGCATCTTAATTTTGCGTGCATCTCATTTTTTCGCAGCATCTTAGACCTCACTCTACTTAAACCACCTTGAGAATCTTAAACTCAGATTCCACTTGAATCTTACATTTCGGATCTTATAATTTAAGATACGAAATAGATCTTATTCCTGGTTAAGAGACCCCTTCAGTATCTTAATTTTCATAAGACGTCGTCAAAAGATCCGAAATATATCTTATTTTAAGATTTTTTTCCAGTCTTATAGTCTTAGATCTTAGTTTAAGAGCCCTCCTAAGAGCCGAATTTTTGTAGTGAAGGGGCAGAATAAAGACGATCGGGGTCATATGGGAGTTGGCGAACGAATTTGAAGACAATCATCATTCTTTTCAGTAAAATATGCAAATGTTTTGTCTTTTCGAAAGATATTCACGTTCAACATAAGGCGCCAAAAAATCTATAGGGGCCAAAAGAGCCGGCGCCAAAAAATCCTGTTCCTTTAGCCACAATAACTGACAACTTACAAGTAAAACTTCTCATGCCAAACCGGGTTGAGATCCTGTGGCATTGTTCTTGTACGTTTTTTCACTTTGCCCACCTGCACCGTAACATATGGATCTGATGTGCCGCTCTTGTCTTTGGCGATGAGCCCCTGTGCACTAATCACTGTAATAATTTCAATACGTCAGGTTAACAATCGTTCTGCTGTACTTCTGTGCTGCCTAGCATTGCAACTGTTGATTAATGACGTGGAGGAAGATTTACAATGACGATTGATTTATTACATTGGGAAATTCTAGGCAGCGCTAGCTTACACGGAGCAACGGACGCTTATTAAAGCCTGTATGCTGTACTTTTGGATTTATACCAAGGATTTCATCCCCCATTCATCAAACCTTCTCCTAAACTTTTGTGGAAAATTGGAAATTGCTGGATCCGAATCGCGTTATTATCGCGGTGAACTCCAAGTCAGTATAATAAAAGGGTTAATAATCCCGGTAATATTTTTCTTCTTCACACTGTTTCTCAACATGAAACAAGTCCACCGAACTTCTTATAACTGCGTACATAGTATACATTGACATGAGCGTGCATTAAAGCGCTGTGAATATTCTCAGATGTATTCAAATAAAAAACATTGCCATTGATAATTCATGAGCCATGCGACACAGGAGACCATGCAAACCACGTAATATTACAACTTTATGCAAAAGTCGGAATTCTTCAAAGATAGTTGAGATTTATGGTAACATTTTGTGGCCCACAAGGGTCGTGGTGCTTCCTCCTAGGTCTGTTGTTTCGTTGTTTGTTGATATAGTGATAAGTATGTGACAATTCTTATCTATTTATGACTATTGGTAATGAATGGGTTGAAAAAAGTGCCTCTATGTGTTCTCAGTGCGTGTATTTTCTATAATTACAAGGACGTGTTGATCTGTTTTTTACTGAAGAGAATGTTTTATTCATCGGGTTGCATGTGACTATTCTTTATTGAGAAATTTTCGAGAAATAGTTATTGATCATAGCACAAGTCATACATATTTTAGAAACTAGCGCATGTATATCTGTTCCGAAACGGTAAAATGTTTTGCTCTCTGCTGGGTTTCGAGGAATATCTTTTTTTTTTTTGTTATATTTAATAGCTCAAAACTACAAGTTTATACAGCCGTGAATTATAATATAAACGTATATATCTGTATATATAAGGGAAAAAAAGAAGGAGAACAAGTGTATTACATAGATTTTGTGTATATTATGATAGCTTAAATTTCTAAAGTTTAGATTCTAATATTGCAGTTTTTGAGAAACTTTGTAATACTTTCAATGCACTTTAAGTCTAAGTTTTTGAGAATCATGCGACTACAGGACGGAGGGAAACATTGATTGAGTTGTAGGGTGTTATATAATGTTTGTCGGTGTTGGTCGTGTCGTAGGCAATCCCAGAAGACGTGGTCTAAATTCTCGCTTGGATGTCCACATTCACATTGAGCAGATTCAATAAAATTCTTCCTTTGAAGAGAAGCTGCCAGGTGATAATGGTTTGATCTGGCCCTATTAATCCAGACTACAGATTGAGAGGAATATCTCCGAATCTAGGGGAGATAGCGAAATTTTTGTAATGACCTTTTTTGTAGCTCTCAATTCGCTCTATCAAAAAGGTTCTGACAAAAATTTTGCTATCTGCCTTAGATTCCGAGATTTTCGTCGGAAACTTCGACCCAAAGTCGAAAACGACTTCAGCTGAGTTTTCGAGGAATATCTCCGAATCTAAGAGAGATATCGATATTTTCATAATGACCTTTTTTATAGCTCTCAATTTCCTCCATAGAAAAGGTTCTTACAAAGATTTCGCTATCTGTCTTAGATCCCGAGATAATCATTCATAACTGACCATTCGTCAAAATCTACTTGAATCGTTTTAACGCTTCGCCACTGCTATAATGCCGCGATAAATACTGATCACCTCAGAAGGATAGATGCAATAGTAATCGGAAATTCTTCTGCATTCTATATCATTAATAAATACATCGCTCACATCTTTGGGGGATTCCCCTCACGGACGCGTTGAATAAATTTCGACGACCCGGTGTCTCGAACTATCGGGGATCAAGTACACAACTTAAGCGAACAACAAACGAGAAACAATTGGTGGGTTTGTTGGCATGCTTCTCTTTACTTTTTTCCGTTATGCTTCCTCCTTCACTTTGCCAAGCATCATCTAACAGGCTTCTCTTTTATTCCCCCCTTTGTATATGTGATATACGAGTTTTCTTTCATGTTTCCTTTCTACCGATTTTCTTCTCTCCGCTCTAGCATTCTGCAGGCACGCGATATTACTCTTTCTTTTGAATCTTTTGAATTATCCCGCAAGTTTTTTTCGTGGAAAACATTTGTTTTCATCCATTTTTCTTGAAACTTGGGATCTAAATTCCACAACTGATTTTTTTATCGATAAAATGCTACTGTAACTTTTCCGTAAACTCGAATAATTTTCAACTATTCCTTTGAATTTGGAGTTTGTCGATGAAACAAGAGCGATAACACGAGGGAAAAGTTGTTGATCGTTAACTTAATAGAAATATCCCCGTAAAAGGTGGAAGTAGCTGGATGAGTGTAACTGGGTCAGGGATACTGCTACTCTCGCCTGTACGTTGAACTATCGATTTTTAAGAATCTCTGGAACATTGTGCCCGGGACTGAAAATTATCAAATAATCTTACTCCACAGTTCACTTATACTGCGCATACCTGTTTGTTTCCTGTTGGAATTTAGTTATTTACCCTTGCCACTCGAAATTTACATGTTCAAGTCACGCGAAACTATCGATTGAATTTACTCGAAGAATCAATGTGGACTTTACTATATTTTGCGGGGATAATCGGCTTCGTGGAAAAAGTCTTGTTTATTTTTTGCTTATGGTTCAATTTTTCGTTATTATCTTCCATTATGAGGTATTTGGGTGCGTGAACGATTTCCTATTGTTTATTGATATTGTTATAGAATCAAATAATTGACTATTTCCCCTGTGTGAATGAGAATGGAGTGGAACTGAATGTAGTCATTCGTATGATTTTATTTTCTCTTTTGTTCTTGTGATTTCAAATCTTCAAAAATTCAACACTTGGAAAACAATTTTTGGATTAATACCAAATTCGTGAAATTATCTTTTCATTTTGGCCTTTAGTGCTATCGAAAATATCAATTCAACATCAGGAATGGCCAATAATATTAGATTTTGACAATATTAAAAAGGGTTATCTCCTTATATTGCTCAAAGTTTAAGTATATTTAACAAATTTAAAATATTATAAAATTTATCAACTAAATTTTCCGATTAATGGTGAATAAAATGTTTGATAATATTGAAATGTAATTTTTAGTTAACAAGCTAATTCGAAATTTAGGATTATCCAAATAATCGTCAATCTTCCTACCTAAATTATTGGTCAATTCAATATTAAAAATTTTGAGATTTATGTTGAAAATTGACAACTTCACAATTTAACGGTAATTATTATTGATGAATATGCCTATCACTGTTCAAATTAAAATGTTAAAGTCAATATTTTTTTTACTTTCTTTTTTTACTTTCGTCCTCTCTCTCCTTCGGTTCCTTTTCTTCTATCATTAAATATCAGGAATCATTATATTGGAAGCTGAATAATGGATGCGGATGCACCTAGTGCTGCAAAGGTCAACGACCCACAATAAAAAAAATAACTTAATCCCGACGACAGAAAATCGAATCTCACCGATTTAATATTTGACTGAATTTGTTATCTAAAATGTTGCTGTTACCACAATCTTCAGTCATTAAAAATAAACCGCCCCATTTTATCTGGATGTCGTCTTCACTTCATTCTAATACTTCAAGATTATTGCAGTACTATTTAATCATCTTTTTACTGCTGCCAGTGTGATATTTGAAAAGAGCAAAAAAAGTTCATCAATGCAACGAGAGAGAAAAACAAGACATTCAGGACGTGCAAGTTCTCGTTAGAATCCGAATGCTCTCTTTTGCTCTCAATTTGCAATTAATGAACATTGTGTGTGTGCGTCGGTGTACACGCAGCCTTCCTCTTCCCGAAGAACCGGCAGTGCGCAAAATTTTGCCCGGCCAAGCAGGGAGAGAAAGCCGTGATCTTGATGCAGATGTGGCAGAATAACAATTAATTTTCGGATTATTAAAGTGACACATTAGAATGCAGAGTGTTTGAGAGTGGTTTTTACGTCGGTCGATGTATGGATGAATAGGGGAGGGGAGGCCAAAATGAGGCTAATTACGAGTGTTGTTTGGTCGGAATTACTTGTATTTGAGTTAAAATACGGCTCCAGCGTGCGTTGAAGTCACGTCAATTCAAAAGAACTGAAGGGCCAAATGGAACAGTCTTTGTCATGAAAAAAAATTCTGCAAACATTGATTCCATGACCAAGGGAGACGGGCGGAGTAGTCAGAAAGGGTCAATGTTCTTACGGCTCGAACGATCTGAGGGATCGTACGAGGTCGATGAGCAAAATGCTCAGAAGGCTCCATGGTTATAAGACAAATAAAGAAAAGCTTTAGTCTTTAGGGATCTACTCCTCATTTTTTGAGATTTTTGACATCAACTGGAATTAGTGAGTTTAGTCTCTAGATTTCAGTGATAGAGTCCTTAGCATCAAGGATTCTATCACTGAAATCTAGGGACTAAACTCCTAGGGCTCAAGATTTCTATCTGATTTTCAGTCTCTTGTCACTGGGAATGAGTGACAAAATCACTTGATTTGACCTTCAGGATTATTCCGCTTCTCTTCTTTTGGCATTCATGACCGTTCTCATCACTGAGCTGGTCTCCCGCTGGCTCTCAAGATAATTCAATCCTGATTATTTAGTCCCTCTGTCCCATCGGACTTTTGTGAACACTTGACAAGTTGTTTGTGCATGCAACCAATTTTTATCCCCCTTGACTTGTCGCACTTTGTCTTCATCATTTCTTCATTTTTTTTCTCGAAAAACTGAGGTGCCTCATTTTGCCCGCCCTGCCCCGCCCTGCCCCACCCTCCCCTATAGATGTATGAATATAGATATGTTTTTCTTGGTCATTTTCAATATGTGGCTACCTGTGATGGCGATTTTGCATGACCACTTGCTGGTGCCTTCCAGGACCATCACCTCTGCCTGCTCGAGGCTGTCAATGTGAGTATCCGGGTCGACTGAAAATGTAGTGCTGAAAATAAGACAATACCCTGATAATCCACAGCGATTCGCCTTCTCGAATTATCCTTCATCCATTTTTATCTCGTTACACTCGGCAATTTATCACTCATGACATTGTCGACACAAGCTTTGCTCCCCGAAGACTGTCGTGTCTGTATATGGCTACTCTGCACGTAACTCTGAATGGAAGTGGAGAGAAGACACGGGGAGAAGACGAATAATCGTATATGTAAAGAACAGTGGCAATTGAACTGCGATAGAATGAACCCGATGTTCCACTACCGTAGTAGAATCAACATTGATAGTATTTTGTTGGCATGGTCAAAGTGACGAGGCTATAGCACTGAGGCTACGACCTAAAACAATGAAACTTGTTGCGCGTCTCACGTTTCTGGCCTTCAGCTCACCAGTCACGGTATCATCGTGGTGGCGCAATGCCAACTCCCTGCAGTTCAATGTTTGGTAATGAATGACCTCTAGTTCACTGATATTCGCCATCAACTTTTATCAGCGCAAAGTACCACTTCCTTGGAAGAGGATTGTGAGGCCGGTCGGGGAGGGTGGGGCAAAATGGAATACCATGATTTTGCACATGTTAGAGGGATCAATTTTTCCTCCAATGTCACTAGCTTCGAGCCGAATATTATAATTCAGTAGCGAAGTGGTAAAACGGTTCAAGTCGACTCATCTCCCAGGTGAGTTTTTGAGGAATATTTCTGAATCTAAGGGAGACAGCGAAATTTTCGTAATTACATTTGTTGTAGCTCTCAATCTGCTCTACAAAAAAGGTTCTGAAAATATTTTGCTATCTTCCTTGGATTCCGAGATATTCATTGAAAACTCGTCAATCGTCAAAATTGACTTATACCGTTTTACCATTTCGCCATTTCGAATTCAAATTCGGGATCATTTTTCACTCGATTATCGTAATTTGGTTCACGGGGCAAAATGGGATAGTTGAAAATTCTAAAAATACAGAAAATTGTTATTAATGTATGCAGAGGTCCAAAATTCCACTGGAAAAAATTAATATTACCACTTTTGTTTTCAACAGTTTTTTTATCAATATCTGGAAGATTAGTGGAGATACGACCATTTTACACGGATTCTGTTCCGTGTTATGTTATCCGTTTTTAATAAATTATTTTCCCACATTTCAGTAATTCCATCAGAAATCAATAAAAGAGAGGAAAAAGGAACCAAATTACACGAGTAATGAATATTTCTATGATTTTAAGAAATTTTTAATTTTTTTGTGCAAAACTGGACTATCCCATTTTGCCCTAGCCCCCCCTATTTATGTATTTCGAAAACCCCCAGCCCCTCACCAATGAGCTTTCCAAAGTTCTTGTCAAGGGAATACTGATGAGAAAATGTTTTAAATCCGTCACGTACGACTAACGAATATTTGCATTGAAGATTTTACGTTAATTTGGATTCCCCTCTTTTTCATAAAGCCTCTCCTGTATAAAAACTCCTATAGACGAGACGGATATGCTGTGAGAACTATATTCCTCCTCAAATATAGAGCTAAATTCCATGAATTCATCGCCGACGAGGAGAGACTGGAATTCTGTCGGACATATTGCGTACAAGATATGTCTCGATAACATCTTTTTATGAAAGAACTCGACGTGCAGTGGATTCTTCGCAACTAATGAGCAGTCGTTTAAAAAAAAAAAATCCCTGTCAGTATAATCGAACTTCTTAATTGAGAATTCGATGAAAATTTGAAAATGAAACCGACATAATTGCGCAACTTTTCAGAGCATTAATTCTTCTAGACCGGACGACAATAAAAAATTAGTTATAACAACAGAATGAATATAATGATAATAATCACCATGGCAATCATCATACTAATGGAAAAGGATATACAACACTGATAGCAGCCTGGCGGTGGAGACATGACAGAGGAAAAGGAAATAGGGAACGGACATATTTCAATGTTGTCGAACGTAATAATAATCATATATATTATAGTAAAAGCGACGGGAGTGTACAATGAAGCAATCGCCGCAGGAAACATTCGATATTGAATTGATCTGGTTCTGCTGAAAAATGACCTTCAATTGCGTACGTCTTGACAGAAATAATGATCAAATAAAACGTCAAACAATAAACAGCATCACTAAACATATAAACCACAGTCACTTGGATAAATCCAGCCAATTTAAAATTAAACGAAAATTTCAATCGAGCGAAGCTTTGTTATTATTGTTGCTGTATCACACCAATCCTACCCTTACAAATAGACACAGAGATGTGCATGACGACAGGGCGGTTATTACAAGAATGGAGACAGCCATTTCACAAACCTGTGATTGCAATCTTCGCTGACCATTTGCTTGTTCCGTCCAATACGGACTGCTTGATGGAATCCATATGATTGATGTGGGCCTTCTCGTCAACACCGAAAACGGACCTAAACTCCGATGATATTGATATTCAAGTAGCACTATACACTGAGCAAAAAATAGTCTAGTACATGTCCATCGAATTGATGGTGATTTTTGCTCAGTGTAATTATTCGCTCGGACAATGCCACTATCACATTAATGTTACATCATCTTTCTTCCCTGTTTTAAGCTGTTTGCGTTAACTCAATTGCAATTGTTCATTATTTTTCCTGGGATTAGATTGATTCGAATTCATAATAATACGCGAGGAGCAAAATTCAATCAACTTCATGCCAATTAGAACGAGAATTCACCTGTGCGAGATATATACCACAGAAAACCGAGAAAATATTGCAAGAAAAACACAATTTTGTCCTAATCCTGTAAAAAATTTCATTAGAATAGTGAATCCGCGACTCAAAAGGAAGCAAAACGAGACTGATGACTATTAGTTTCGATCTCGTCTTGTTTCCCATCTTTATTTCAGGATGCAAACATTTTCTTGAGCATCGCACCAGTAGTCTTCCCTGTTTTAAGCTATTTGCGTTAACTCAGTTACAATTGTTCATTATTTTTCCTGGGATTAGATTGATTCGAATTCATAATAATACGCGAGGAGCAAAATTCAATCAACTTCATGCCAATTAGAACGAGAATTCGCCTCTGCGAGATATATACCACAGAAAACCGAGAAAACATCGAAATAAAAACACAATTTTGTCCTAATCCTGTTAAAAAATTTCATTAGAATAGTGAATCCGCGACCCAAAACGAAGCAAAACGAGAGGGATAACTATTAGTCTCGATCTCGTCTTGTTTTGCTACTGAAGAAAATGGTTTCTCACCATTCTCGTGATGATTACGTGCCAATTATGTGATGTAATGACGAGTCATTGAATTGTAAATGAAAATAGTACGCATAGGCGCAATGACTTACCGTATTAGCTCGAAAATTTCAGGTTTTTCTCGCTCTCGCTGTTTCATTCTCTCCTTCATAGCTGTTATTATGCTGTTCGCTTTATCCTCAGCCCCGTGTTTTGAACTTTTCTCGGCAGCTCCTGCGTTAGAAATAACCCAGGTAGGAATTATATAAGCCGAGGTTCAATTCAGGCCTAGCCCAGGCTTTGAGTATTGAGGCTCTGCAAGGCCTCAAAAATGAAAGTTAGTTTCGATTACATTCCTTAATTTTTATATCTATTAACGTTTCTGATGCTCATGAAACACTCGGAGGCGCCAGAAATGTCGAAATAAAATTTTTTATTTTTCACTCGGGGCCAAAGTGTCATCTTGGATTTTTCAGGGAAAAGCCAAAGTGCCATATTTAGGTTTTTTTTCGATGGAAAAGTCGACTTTCGCCAAAATCGAATTATTACCGATATTACGATCTTACTTTGTAAGCAGTCAGCATTGAGTAGATCCTTGCACTTTTCGTGACATTTGACAGAGCATTCCATGCACTTGACACCCTGTCTCGCAATACCCCAAAGAAGACCCTCGCATTCGTAACAATATGTCGGCGATGTTGCCGTCCACGTGACAAAGTTGTGAGGTGTCGTCGACGAAATCGGATAGATCATGGCCTGCAGAGTCTTCTTGTAGACATGCATTTTCTGTATGATACATTTGTCACGTCAGTGGGATTAAATTGTACGGCAGATGGGTCGAGTGAAGTTGGAGATTGGATTATCTCTATTACGCGCACGAAAAAATTTAATAGAAAAACCTATCGAATTCGTTAGAAAATTCTATTTAATTTCTGTTAAATTTTCTAGTAGTTTTTGGCTGATTCTATTGACATGTTCAATAAAAAACATTCAATAGAAAATGTCAACAGAATTCGATTTTTCTATATAACTTACTCTTTTCATATATTTTCTATTGAGAATTTGCTCGACTCAAATTTTCCAAGTGTTTTCATTGTATTTTTCTTTTCTTCTCATCGAGAAAATCAAACGAAAAAACTTGAAAAATTTGAGCCGAGGAAATTCTATAGAAAATATCTGAATAGAACAGTTCAATAGAAATTCAATAGAATTTTCTAACGAATTCGATAGGTTTTTCTATTAAATTTTTTCGTCCGAGTACTCTGGGGTTGAAATATTCTCCTCTATTAAAAATAGGGAAAAAATTTGATCAGCGATTTATTCCGCCGAGCATAATATGCTAGACTTGGGAATTTTTCCAGTTTATCTTGGCTTATGAATGAAAACCTGGAAAATGGGACCGATTTCACTGTTAGCTGCGCCTAATTTCGTAACTTTACAACTGAATTGTTCGTCGTGAAAATTTGTAAAGGTCACTTTTCGCATTTTATCTGAAATCTGAACATGATGAAAGCGGACACTAACTCCTTTTCAATGAATAAATGACTACATAATGATCGGAATAATATGCATAAATCACTAGCCAATGATGCGCGTCCCCTTTTCTACTCTCAGAAATGAAAATATATTTTTTTGCGCGTGCCAATTGGACTTCGATCGCTCGAGATAATTTTTTTTGGGAAACATTGGGGAAAAAAATTCTCTTACCAATTCTTCGTCATTTAATGTTGCTCTGGGCACGGCAGAAGTCAATCCAGCTGCATTTCGTTTAGTTGCTGCCATCGTCTGGGAAAATATAGTGAATATTAATCGCCAATTCTCACTATATTCTTTACCACGTATTTCCTTTGCTTTTTCTCTTGTATTTTTTCTCACTGCAATGTAATGCAATGGCACGTGATTATAGCTGGTGAAGAAATATAATAATGGTGATATTCAATAAGTGAAGAGAGTAGTATCAGTGAATTATCCGACAGAATTAGCGTGATTATTTGTGAATGAATTTGTTCGCATTACCTGAAGAAGAAAATGAAAAAGGAGAAAATATTTAATGCACCGAAAAGTAGTTTTTCATCTACTGACAAAATTTTGATGTGTATTGCAAGGAAAGGAGTGTCTCATCGTTACGATTATCCAGTGAGACCGCAATAATTCCTTTCATTAGTGCAAACATGGATAGAAATAAACTATTATGTACAGAAAAAATTAATCTGACGATATATACAAGAGTCTGCCTGGAAAACATCTCAAGGAGTTTTTGTTGATCGTTTAATGAATGACAATCACGTACAAACAATTAATTCCTTTTTCGAGAATCTTCATGTGAGGCTTTAATTGTAAATTCTAAAAATCGTCTATGTGATGTGGTTATTCAAAATTAGCGCCGAAGATCGCACATGTATGTGTGTATGAGTGGAATGATTTCAATTTATATTTCGAAAATATTGTAATTCAATTGGCCAGTATCAACAACAGGTGAGTATGAAAATGAGAGAGTATTGCAATCCCGATAATTTTTATTTAAACTTTTTGTACGTTTATTTTTTCGGCGTAGCATACGTGTACTCCTATAATGTTGTCGAAGCTACTGACAAAACAAAAACACTTATGATCTACTTAATGTCCGTTGGTCCTGTCTAAATCACAGAAAACTACTGCTATGATGATTATGTACATCTAGAAGTTATTCTTTTCTCCTCACTTTCCCATTTTCGATCCGCCCTTCTCTTTGGATTGAAAAAACTGGAATATTCTATGGAAATTCATAGAATTTTAAAATTACGAATCGGTAGCGAAGCGAAGATATTTTGAGGAATATCTCCGAATCTAAGGGAGATAGCGAAATTTTCGTTATTTCATTTTTTGTAGTTCTCAATCAGCTCTACAAAAAAGATTCTAAGAAAAATTTTGCTATCTCCCTTAGATTCGGAGATATTCCTCAAAAACTTAGTTGAACTCGATTTTGATTATTTGTCAGTTTTCAATGAATATCTCGGAATCTAAGGCAGATAGCAAAATTTTTGTCAGCACCTTTTTTGTAGCCCTTAATTTCCTCTACAAAAAAGATTATGATAAAAGTTTTGCTATCTCCCTCAGGTTCCGAGATATTCATTAAAAACTGGCCAATAGTCAAAAACGATTTAAACCGTTTTACCGCTTCGCTACTGAAATGTTAGAAAATAGTTAAAAAAGAAAGGCGGACCTTTGAATATCATGGAAAATTAGTACAGCATTTATACGCGTCTCGATACGTGATGCACGCATCATTAGTCCTCGGTGATGCAAGTCAAAAGCTATCTAACACCTATATCATCTAGATTTTTATCTCATTCATTTCTAATATGAGCAAATTCACCGCGCACTCATCAATGCCACAGTCTCTACACATTATTTTGTCTTCTTTCGACGTCATGAACGATTACCTAAATTTATTAAAAGGTTTCAACTTCATTAAACTCTCAACTTTATTAAAAACTTTTCTCGAGGAACAGTAATTCACTCAAGATCTGAAATTTTAATAGCCCATTTATAATCTGCATAATAAATTATATGCAAATCTTTCATTCTTCGGCAGTGAATCGTGAGAGCCGAAAATTTGCTCATACGTGTGATTATATTAACTATAAATTTTCATTGAGCGTTGAAATGATCAGGAGCATCGCTCGATTCTTGTTGAAAAAGTGTTTAATTTATATCGCAATACATATATACTAATCTGCAGCACGTTATACTCATCAACTGAAACACTTCTATCTGAATAATACGGAATTGTAGAAATATTTTGAGAAATTTTCAGGTTCATAGATCATTCAACATGCGCAATAATGGAAAATATCAGGCTGGATGCAATTGGCGTGCAATAACTCCGATACTATCATCAATGATAGAACATCCGATTGATAATCATCACTATTCATATCAAAATCATGAGGCTGATGGACTATTCCGTTGAGTCTCAATCCATATTCCATAATAGATGTGTACAAGTCAAATCGATAAATCAGTCAAGAGTCAGCGAATGCTAATGTATTAAATTAAATTATACTTGCAAGCATTAGACCAAGCTCTGGCGATCATCACGACTCATCGAATTCAAATAGCGTAAGGTTTCCCTTTTATACTTCATTTGACAATGTATATATTTTTTTTCATCCTTCAAGTGATCCGGTTCTTTATTCATGTGAATAAAAAAATTAAGCGGAAGCTCTAGACAAGCGCTCGAAGTAATCCTTGTTTTTTATAATTACCACACCATCTCCTTTTTGTTTTTCTTTTTCGATCTCGAGGATTCGCGCGAAAGCGTGCTTGTGCGTAAAACAAGAAAACCCAAGTTAGGTCGAAGAGACTAAGGAAAAATTGGATTTTCTCTAGAGTAAAATTAACATCTCCCGTTATAAACTGTTGATTTTATTAAACACATGTTGATGTATATCAAATGCATTTGTCTTTCATTCTAATGACTGAATATATACTCAACATGAAAACCTATATCACGAGTTATAATGGCAGGACCAGAATAAAAATTCAAATGAGACGAGAATTGTAAAGAATAACATATAAATAGTTGTATAATAGTAGGTAGTTCAGAAAGAAAGAGAAAGAGAGATAGGAGAGTAGAGAGAGAGTAGAGAGACAGTAAGAAACGTATTGTAAATTGCATGCGACGTTCGAGCAAGCATAAATAATTTTCAGCTAAGGAGGCATGTAATTAGTACCTTCAAGACCTGGATGTGGAGATTATTATTGAGATTTTGAGAGGTTCAGTGAAATTTTTTTATATTTTTTTTTCAGGTGTTCAGGTAGATACAACAACGGGCGCCACAGAGAACAAACAAAAATAGCATTATGCTGGTTAGTTTCAACCATTCTTATACATATATAGTTATTTTCCAGATATAGAGAGGTTAATCACGTATGAAATTTTTTTTTTAGGATTTACTATTGAATTTCCCACAGGATTTCCTATAGGATTCCCTGTAGAATTTCCTATCAGATTTATGACCCTTGTGACCGATTGGTTTCGAGTCTCAATTCTGTGTTACTTTCTATAGAAAACTCTGTAGTGAATTCTATGGGAAATCCTATAGAAAATCCCATAGGAAATCCTACAGGAAATCCCACCGGGAAAATCCTATAGGAAATTCTATAGGAAATCCCACCAGAAAAATCCTATAGGAAATGTTCGAATTCTCCATAGAATTTCCTACAGGAAAATAGGAAAATCCATAGGAAATCCTATGGAGAATTCGAACATTTCCTATAGGATTTCCTATAGAATTTCCTATCAGATTTATGACCCTCATCCTGACCCTTTTGACTTGTTACTTTCTATAGAAAATCCTGTAGTGAATTCTTTGGGAAATCCTATAGAAAATCCTATAGGAAATCCCACCGGAAAAATCCTATAGGAAATCCCACCAGAAAAATCCTATAGGAAAAGTTCGAAGGCTCCATATGATTTCCTATAGAAAAATCGGAAAATCCATAGGAAATCCTATGGGATTTTTTCATACGTGATCAGATGAAGAGGCACCAGGAAAAATACTGGATCGTCATTCAACAGTTTTCTAATGGCAAATATGAGGATTTATCATTAAAAAATTGACAATAATCAGTGAAAAGTGCATTTCAACTTGAAGACTATCGATTATTTCCAGTAATTTTCTTGGGCTTTTAAGTCACTGCCGGAAATGTGGATTTTACGAAAATTCACACTGTGTGAAATATATGATCCTCGTAGGCTTTCCAGGATTGGCAGGAAGGTGGAAATTTATTAAAAACACAACGATTAAATTGAAACGGTTGACATTAAACATTCAGAGGGGACATATACTGAGGGGGGGGGGG